CCACTTTGCTGTTTAGAGCTGAAAATTGACATTTTCACAGAGCAACGTGATGGAGATTTACCCTAAACTGCCTCGTTTTGTGCCCTGAAAAGCCCCTGTGCCCAAGCAAGGTGCTCTGATCCTCTCCCTGCTTCCCAATTATTTTAATATGAGAACAGCAAAGTTTACAGGACTGACTTTCCCTGCAGGAGGACAAACATCCCCTTTAAACCCCCTCCATCTCTGCCCAATTTCCTCTGGAAATGAGAAGGAATTCCTAATTTTTCTTTCCTTTCAGAGCTTCTCTCCCCCAAACCTCCCTCTCTAATGAGCTCTAAGCAGCAAGTTAAGCAGATTTCCAAGGCATCACCTGGAAAGAGACTGCAGTGCTCAGCACTGGGATGAAACCCAGAGGTATTTTCCTATTAGGAAAACAGCATCAATCTCTCCTGAGCGAGGAAACGGGGGTGGAGGTGCTCAGGGAAGGATTTGTGGCTTTTTTTTTTGTTAACTGAGCTCTTTCCCGGAGCGTTGCACTGAGCTGCTCCGACACCCCCCTGACCTGCTGCTCAAATCCCTGGGAAATCAAGCCTGAGGCATTGGGAAGGGAAGAGGCACTGCTCTCCTGCTGCTGGCAGCACAGGGATTGATGGGTTTTTCACCCCCAGACCTCAGGATCAGGCTGCAGAGCCCTGGTTTGGGGTGCAGAGCCCTGGTTTGGGGGGCAGAGTCCCGGATTTGGGGTGCAGAGCCCTCTCCATCCATCCCAACACCCCAGGGCCAGGGCAGCTTCATTTTCCCTGGGAGCTGCCGCAGAGCTCAGGTCCCTTTTCCTGCTTGGAGGGACAATAAACAGCCCAAGGGGGGATAATAAACAGCACCAAAGCACCTGTTCCCCCAGAAAAGGGGGTCCCCAGCCTTCAGGGGGCTGTCACCTCGCTGCTGCCAAGGCCACAGGCACAGACACCCCGAGTGCTGTTCCCAAAGCACCTGGGGAGCCTGGCTATGACCCCCGAGCACGCTGCAGTCCCCAAACATCCCAGCCCGGGTTCCAGCGCTGTCCCTGCCCATCCTCGCTGCCTGTCCTGCCCCGGGGCCGGTGCTGGGCCCGGGCTGAGCTCAGCCCGGTGCTGCCGGTCCCGCAGCGCTGCCCTGGCCAGCCCAGCCCGGCTCCAGCCGCAGGGCACACCAGCGGCACGGATGGAGTTTGCTCCCGGCACCCACAGAGACGCATCCCAAACTTGCCAAAACGGGATTTGGGCTCTGCTGTCACCCAGCCCCCCCAGGGGACACGTCCCCCCCAACCCGGGCCCCCCGCGCTTTACCTGGACAGGTACAAATCCTCAGGGACCTGCGGGGCATCCGCCGAGCTGGGTCCGCTCCCTCGGGCCGGGGGGGGCCCTGCGAGCCCCGGGGCCGGCGCTGGGCACCGGGCAGAGCCCCCCGCGCCGCCCGGGGGTCCCCAGCTCAGCCCCGGGATCCTCGGGTGGCCCCAGCCCCGGGATGCTCCGGGGGTCCCTGCGGGGGCAGAGCTAGCCCCGGGATCCGGGATGGATCCGGGATGGATCCGGGATGGATCGGGATGGATCCGGGATGGATCCGGGATGCCCCCCCGGAGCCGGGATGGTTCGGGATAGAGCCGGGATGGATCGGGCTGGATCCGGGATGGATCGGGATGCCCCCCGGAGCCGGGATGGATCCGGGATGGATCGGGATGCTCCCGGCGGTGCGGGACCCGGAGCGGCTCCGCTCCCTCGCCCAGCCCAGCCCGGGGCGGAGCCGCCGCTCACCCGTGCCATGAGCTGGGCGGGCTCTGCGCTCGCCGGACCCTCCCCGGGGCTGGGCCCGGCCCGGCCCGAACCCCCCGGCAGAGCCCGGGGACCCCCGAGGTCTCTCGCTCTGGTTTGCCTGCCAGGCTCACAGCCTTCCTGAGGAAGCTGCCATAAAAAAAACCTACAAAATTTACCCCAAATTCCTACAAACGCACCCCAAATCCCAGCCAGGAGTGAGGAGGGACAATGCCAGATCCCCCATCCCACACCAGAGACCCTCTGCTGTGTGCTTGGCCATACCAGGCTTCCCCAAATCCCCCTTCCCAGGGACTCCCTGGTCCATCCCAGTGCATCTCCAGCTGCTCCTCCCTATGGACCCTGACGAGTGTTTCTCCCCATGTCCCCTCCCCGTGTCCCTCATGGGCTGCAGAGCCCCTTGGGGTCTCTGGATCTCCACCCCAAAGCCGAATCCTCTCCCTCATCCCAAACAGCTCCAGCTGTGTGTCCCTCCTGCCATGGGGACATCTGGGGCTGTCCAGCAAGGACTTGGCTTTGGATCTTCCTAAAAAAAAAGCATCAGATCCCTCTCCCTCTGCAGCAGAAAGTGGAACCTTTTGGGATCTAGTCCCCAAAACCCCTTGGACAGTTTCGCTTCATGCCCACCACACCACCACCATTGGAAAGACTGTGCCTTCACACCCCCCTGTGGATCTTCCCTTTCCCTCATACCCATTGCTTCTGCCACCTGACCTTAATGCCAGGCGACTTCCAGGGCACCAAGGAGCAATTTCAGACAGCAGGAGAAACACTTTCCTCGGAGAAAATGGAATAATTGCGATTTTGTGGGGAAAAAAACACCCATACGACCTGAGAAAAGGTGGGGTCAGGGGCCATGGAGCAGTATGACATTCCAGAGGCCCTGTAATTCCCAGGAACACCCACATCCAGTCCCGGGGCCAGCTCAGTGCTGGCTGCTGCTCCCTGCTCTGGAACGATCCAGGGAGGGCAGCACTGGGAGATGCTCCCGTGATTTCCTGGTACAAATTCACTTCCAGAGACAAAACACAGCAAGTTTTACTGTACCAAAAACTGCCTGGGTGGGAGAGCAGCCAAGGCTCCTTTCCATCAGGCTTCCCGGCTCTTCCTCCGGGCACAGCTGGAAAAGAGCAGGCCGTGGTCCCTCCCCACTTCCCAGAGCTCCTCTGCATCCCCAGGGATGTGGCAGGATGTCCCTCTACAGGACAGCTCGGGTCCAGCACCCTCCTGCACGGCACCTCGGGGCTCACCACTCCTCACTGGGCAAAAGTGACCCCCAGAGCTGCTCCAGATGGGATTGGATCGGGCTGAGGTTTGGAAATTTCCAAGCTGGGCACCTGCATTCACCCAGCCTCACACAGACACCAACTCACCTATTAAAACCCCTCCTTTTTAAAGCCAACACTTACCTTTGGGCAGCTCTCCATGAAATCAGTGTGACCACAGGTGGGATTCCTGCTCCAGGTGAGCTGGACACTCCTGAGTGTGGAAGCAGGAGCTGGCATCTCTGCCCTCCCACAGGGAGGATCCCATTTTAGGCCACACAAAACGTTATTCCCATGAGGAATCGTGGCTTCCTTCCACCTCCCCCCTTTGAGGCTGCTTTGAGCACTGCTCCCAGACACTCACCAAAGGATTCCTAAACCCAGGTGAGTTTGCAATGAGCAGAGTTCACCTTTTTCCCTGAAAACCTGGACACATTCCTTACCTCAAGGCCAAGCATCCATCCATCCCCATGCTGGAGGGGACACAGCCCAAGCTCCCCCTCAGCCCCCTGGCTCTGTGTGTGTGAGGTGACAAGAGAGGACCCCCAAAGGACACACTAGCACTCAGAACTGCATGGGCAGGACCCAAACTGTCCCTGGGATCGCCTGGATGCACACAGGTGAGTCAGTGCATCATGTATGAGGTCAATTTCCCACTTTTTACACGTGTACACTATTTGAGACACTAAAGCTGGGAGAAATGCAGATGTTGGCGTCATTCCCATACAGGACAAAACCAGATTAAAAACCCAGACGTGTGCTGGGCAGCAGCTCTGCAGGAAGTTTGGGGCTGCACTCTTGGAACTGTACTGTGGTGTTTGTGCCATGTTCTCCTGGACAAACACTTCCCTGAAAAGCAGCCAGATTGGATTAGGCAGTGTCAGGGTGACGTCAATGCCCGGGACAGCGACGCGAGGGCTCGGAGCAGAGGGGACGAATCCGTGTGGCTCAGTGCAGCTCTCACATTTTGGAATCATGACCTGGGGAAACAAAGCAGCCCAGGCTTCCAATTCCCTCCCAGGCTGCTGAGTCACCAGCACAAACACTGCCTGGCTCAGGATGCTCCCTGGCTGTGCCGTGCCAGGGACACGTCTGGGCCTGCTGGTGGCAGGGGGACAGGGATGGGGGTGTGACGCTGCAGGGATCTTTCCCAGAAACCCCCCACTCTGGAGCTATCCTGGAAGGAACAGGGCAGCGACAAAGGGTGGCAGAGCCTGATGTGCTCCTGTCAGACCCCAGAGCAAACCCCCTGCAGCAAGGACAAAGAAAAGAACTCCAGACTGATGGGACACTCCCGGTTTCTGCTTGTGACACGTTTTACTCCGCAGAGCAAAGGCAGGTTGGCCTTTCTCACTTCACCTTCCCTTACATTTAAGAGATGACCGAGACTAAAAGAGAAATTAAAAATAAGAGCTAAGGAGAAGTTGTCAGTCTCCCCAGAGCTGGGACACACCACCCACGTGCTGCAGGCTGCTCCAGGGTGCTGGAAGTCAGAGGGATGCCCCGTGGAGGGGCTGGAGCAGCAGTGCAGCGTGGCACATCCTGTGCAAGGAACGCAGCTTGGCCACACGTCCCCGTGTACCCGCGGCCACCCCATCCTCCTCCGCAGCTCCAGGGAGTTCCAGCAGGAAGAACAGAATTCACTTCCCGTGCCTGGTCTCTGTACACTCCAAAACAAGTGTTGCTAATGCCCAAAGGCCCCACGGAGCTCTGGGTTCCCTGGGAATGGAGCAGCAGGTCCCTGTGTGCCGTGCTCCCAGCCCCATCTCCACAGCTGGATCCCAGGCAGGCACACAGCACCGGGGGGAGGCCCTGCCCCGTGTGCAGGCTCAGCACCGACCTCCCCCACACACACACCTCCTCTGGCCCTGCCCTGGTGACACCAGGAGAGAGGGGGCTGTGCCAGGGCCATCCTCCCCGTGAGGACTCCCACACACTGGAACGCTAACAAGGACAATGAGGAGTTAGGTAGGGTAAGGTTGGGGCTGTGCACCAGGGCACCACGAGTTCCTGTCAGCCCCGTGTCCGTGCTCAGAGCTTCCTCTCCCGCAGCTTGCTCCCATCGGGCTCCTCCAGCAGGGCTGAGTGTCCATCCCCATTGCTCAGGCATTTGTCCTTGTCGTGCCTGTGCTCCTGCCTGTGCTCCTGCTTCTGCCGCCGGATCTCCTTGTAGCGCAGGGTGATGTCCCTGCAACACACACGGCACACGGCTCCAGCCTGCAGGAGAGCACCAGGGAGCCTCTCTGCACCGAGCTGCTGGGGATAACAACTCACTGGAGCCTCTGGCTGGGCATTGCTACCACTGCTGATGGCACTGATTCACTGGCACTTTGTGTTTCTGGCTGGTGTCCTGGCTCTTCCCACCTCTTCCAGAGCACAACAGCCAATCCTGCAGGAGCAGCCACTGCTGCCCCCTCCACACAGCATTGCACTTCAAACAGCTGTGGAATGATTTGGGTTGAAAGGGATCCTAAAGCCCATCCCCTTCCACCCCCTGCCATGGGCAACCTTCCACTATTCCAGGCTGCTCCATCCAACCCGGCCTTGGACACTTCCAGGGATCCAGGGGCAGCCACAGCTTCTCTGGGCAGCCTGTGCAGGACCTCAGCACCCTCATTTTTCCCCACACCACACCTAACCCTGCTCTCTGTCAGTGCAGAGCCATCTCCCTTTGTCCTGTCCCTCCAGCCCCTGATATGTGCAGAGCCATTCTCCCTTTGTCCTGTCCCTCCAGTCCCTGATATGTGCAGAGCCATCCCCCCTTGTCTCATCCCTCCAGCCCCTGCTATGCAGAGCCTCTCTCCAGTCCAAAACCGGAAGGCTGCTAATTCCTTAGGCCCTGTGCAGCTGCTTTCTATGATCCAGACAGGAAGCTGCCAGGATCAGGCCCAGGGAGCTCCCTGTTTATTTCAGAACCTGCACCCACCCAGGAGAGCTGTGCCCTCTCCCCAGGCACTCCCAGGGGGCACATTTGAGGATGGGGGTTGAACAAATCCTCCCAAACCCCTGTCCAGCCCCAGCTGCAGCCCCACTCACCGGATGAAGAAGCGCCAGGCTGTCCAGGTGAGCACCAGGATAATCCCCAGGATCCAGCACTGGGTGATGTAGAAGGGCAGGGAGAGGGTGAGCGTGTAGGGGTCGTACTTGACCACGATCAGGAACTCCGTGGCAGTAATAGCAGCAACCAGCCAGGCCTGCTGGCCCAGCTTCTTGTGGAACTTCCTGCAGGGGAAACACAGACAAGAACATCTCATTGCTGTACAACTGGGGATGTGGAGAAATCTGCACAAAAAGACAGCTGGGGCAGGGATTTCATTCAGCTTGGCACAGTCCTACATGTCTAGTTCAGATCACACAGGCACTAAGGCTCTGCAGGATGACACTTTCATGTTGGTGTTACTTCAGTTTCCTCTCAGAGGCTCTAAAAGCAAGAAAAGTTAAATTTCACCACCACACAATGCAGGAAGTGTCCCCATTCCCAGGTAAATAAATCCACATGAAACAATTCTCTGACCAGCCTGAGACCAGCTGATGTTCAGGGTATGGTTCCAAACAGGACCACACACAAGGCCCAAAGCCATATTTAACACAAAGTGGAATTCAAGCTATACTAAACCATCCAAATACACTGGGAAAAATATGGAATAAATCAAATGTATGTGAGTGCTGATGCAGAGGGGATGAGTGCATTCCTTCTTAAAAGGTATCCTGCCTGGATGAGCTCAGATGAAAGGGCTGCAGAAACTGCTCCAGGTGGTGACAGATTAAATGGGCAGAGACCAGCCCTAACCCACAGGCAGAGAGATGAAAAGAGAAGCAGCAGATCTCTCACAGGGAATTCCAGTGGCTGGGATGATGAGGGCAGCTTTGTGCTCTGCTGGGCTGCTTCCTCCTGTGCCATCCTTTCCCTGACAACAGAATCAAAGATAACCCCAACACAAGAGCTGGGCAGCCCCTAAGGCTGCTGAGGAAGAGAGCTGGTTTCCTGCCCTAATATTCAGGAAAGATGTGAAAGATTTTTCTTGTGAAGAAGGAGATAAAAACTCGTGGCCTTGATGCAGACTCCTTGGAGGTGAGAGGAAGACTCCATCAGGAATGTGTGACTAGGTCAAATGCTACAAATGCATCAAGACACTCCTGGCCAGGAACATTTCACACATCCAGTCCTCGGGAACTCTGAGGCAGTGAGTGGCGTGTGAGGGCTGGAGAAAGCTTCACCCCTCTCCTGGGGCTGTCACAATTCCAGGCACTACACTGTCACCATGCTCAGCCCAAGGTCCTGCAAGCAAAGCCCCACAACTGCCCGCAGATACTCAGAATGCTGAATGGGAAGAAGAATTCTTCACGTTGGAATTTCACTGCTTTCTAGACCCAGCATTGCAGGGCTGGCTGAAGAGACCTCCTCAGTTCATCCCAGCACCACCAGACAAGGCAGTGAGCCACGTTTTTGTCAAGGAAGGACAATAGAATATTCCAATCTTTGAGCATTAAGAGTTTCCAAAAGGAAAAGGTCAGCAAGGTTTCCCATGTGATGTAAGCCAGGAGCCTCTGGTACAGCCTGCTCTTCCCAGCAGGAATAATGCACTGACTTTTGTAAATACAACCATGGAACAAATCATTCTTCCCCTCCTCTTCCCCTACAACACCATGGGAAGAATCCTGAAGGATCCTTGGCTTGAAATGATGTGCAAGTGAAGCTGGTAAATGGGGGCAGATCCTCTCTGCCAGGATGGCCTGGAATGCAGGAAGGGATTACAAAACCCTCTGCAGAGAAGGTGCCAGGTAAGAGCTCAGCTCTGCCCTTCTGCAGGAGCAGCCTAATGTCAGCTTGATGCTCTGGGGGGCATCAAGCAGAGCCAGGAACCCCAGGATGTGGGGACAGTCACCTCTCCCAGCAGGAGGTGGTGGCAGTGACAGGGATGCACAGCTTGGGATGAGCTGCTCTGGCTTGTGGAAAGAACAACAATCAGAGCCAGGGATGAGGCACTGGCCAGGGATGGCTCTCCCAAACTCCTGTGTTATGCCACATGGCTGGACAGAGGGCAAAGGAGCTTTTCCAACCCCAACACAAGAAGATGAATGGTGCTAAGGAGAGGAGCTCAGCAGTGAGGCAGAGACTCTTCTTACCTGTGAGTTGGAGGCACGTCCCAAACCAGTAGGTCCAGCACCAAGGGCAGGGCATCCTGCCCCTGAGGAATGTCCTGAATTCCGACTAAGCAATGTGGGCTGGCCCTTCTTCCCAGTTCTAGGAGTCAAAGCCTTGCAAGGGAAACTGATCTTCAGACCATGTTGGAACCCTAAATTCTGAACACAGACACTTTGTTGCGTTGGTCAGCGACAGACAATGAACACCCCTGGAAGCCAGGCGGTGCCTTAGGCTGAGGATGTGGGCTCAGGCAGGTTGTGACATTAAAAGAAAAGGTGATTTTGAGAACAAAGCTTTCTCAGCTCTCACATGGTCTGCAGAAACAAAAGCAGCGAGGACAAATATGATGCTGAGGTGGGAACGGTCTCGAGTACATGCACTGCTGTGTGTGGTGCCTCACCTGCAGCACACCCTGCTACCCAGGGCCTCTGACCTGCAAGAGGATGCCAGGAGAGCTCCAGAGGGCCAGGGGGAAGAAAGCTCAAGGAAAGAAGTGCCTTTAAGAATAATTTTTTTAGTCTGGGCCCAGATGTCCCCAGAGGGCACATCCAAGGACTGCAGTTCCTGGCTCTGGTCTGGAATCAGAGCGCAGCGCTCTGCCCATGAGCCAGGGGCACTCCAGCTCATTTCCACACTCCCTTCTCCACAGAGAGATCATATACCAGACACTGAGGTTACCACAGTGCACACACAACGCCCTTAACAACAGCTGCTCTCTGACCAGGGGCAGTGAGAGCGGTACCTCCGGAACAAAGGAACACGGAGCGGATGCTTTGGGATTAGGCCTTGCTGTCCCTGACAAGCTGAACTGAACTGGTGCCCGAGATGGATGCCAGCAAGCTGGAGCAAGTTGAAAACAAAGCACGTGGAGCTCGACATGGCAAGTACAGAGAGGAGGGGCTTACGGGTCGTCCATGAAGTCGTAGATCTCCCTCATGGCCACTCCTCCCACGTTGACAAAAAACACCAGGCGTAGCAGCACCAGGTAGTGTTCAGGGGGCATCCACAGCACAAACTTCAGGTAAAACGTGTTCAGCTCTGCCAATAAAAACTGGGAGGGGGGGGGAACATTGGAATTACATTTGGAAAATACCACTGGATGGAGCCTGGAACGCCCCTCTCTCCCTGAACAGCTCCCCCTGTGCATTTCGCAGCATCTCTGAGTGAACCATCAGCACCAACCCAAAACCAACTGGGCTTTTAAACATTTCCTCTACTTTGGAAGAGGCACTAAAATTCACAACAAAAAGCTGAACAAGCAGTACCCTCAAATTTCAAGCAAGGTTTTGAACTTCAAACCAAGAGGCCAAAGTACCTGCACAAACACTGAGGGCAAATCCCAGCACAGCTTTTCCTTTCCCTGCCCTTCAAAATCCAGCTGAGGGAGCCCCACCATAACAAGAGGCAGAGCTGCACATCCTGGGGGGCTGGGTTGGGTTGTTTTTTCTCAGTTATATAAACTCACCCTCAAAGCCAACTTGGGAAAGTTGATTATAAATTAAGAGCAAAATGTTCTCTGCAGCAGCTGCCCTGGCAATGTGCTTAAGGGAGTAGAGAGACACCAGATTGTCACTTCAAAAGAAGTGATAACAAAGGGCATTAAGCCTTGCTGAAACCCAAGGAGTGAGCCAGAACCTGAAGCTGCTTGGAACCTGTCAGCTGAAGCTGAGATGTGCTAAAAGAAACATAATCCCACAGTTCAGTATGAATTCACTGGGATCTCTGTTACAGCAGCACCTAAAACCCCATTTCTTCAGGGTGCAACCAGCAACCTTTGGGGAAACATCTATTTTATTTATATTATACTCTTTCAGTCCTCCCACAGAGCAGGCCTGGTGTGCCACATAGGCTTGGCCAATGTGTCCTGCAGCAGGAATCAGGTGCTGGGAGTTTGTTCTGGCAAAACACAGAGTTCTGTCCTGTGCCACTGAACCTGGTTCATGCTCAGTGCCCCTGGATCACCACCAGTGTCACGGGGATGGATTTAGTTAAATTTCACAGTTGCTGGGCTGAGATAAGTTTGAGTTGCCCAGAGCACAGTCAAGTGACATCCCATGGATGGCACAAAGTCCCCTGGCTGGCAAAGGGGCAGAAATGGGGAAAAGGAAGGGTAAACTGGGCAGTTTAAATGCCTGTCAGTCATGTGGGTGACAAGTTCAGCTTCACAGGCACTGGTATGAATTTCAGATGCTGCATTCCCAGCATAAAACAATTCCACCCACTCAGGTGCTGTGTGTGCAGTGAAATGTTTAAAAAAAATAAAATTCTAGGAGAACTGAATGATTTAGGCAGATCTGTACTTCAGGAGTGAGCTCAGAGGAGCCAGAGGCCTTGGATACAGCCCCTTCCAGCTGTAATGTGACCTGCAGCTGCATAAAACTGAGGGATTGGAGCTACTTTCACCCACAGCCAGTGCTTTGGGGAGCAGCATCTTGCTGAGAACACAAAGATCCCAGTTCATATTGCTCCCAGTGCCAGAACAGTGGGCAGCAAGCAAGGACGGCCCTTTCTGCAGTGAATCTGTCACCTGTCCCAGAGACACGGACACAGCCCCCTGTTCTGCGGGATTGGGAAGGGATCCCTGCTGGCCTCAGCTTCAGGAACACACCCAGAGCTGCAGCCTGAGTGCAGGACCTGGAAGAGGGGACAGGAGGGCCAGAGAGGTGTCCTCACCACGAAGATGATGCCGCAGACAGCGAGCCACCTGCGCAGGCTGGAGGCCGGCTTCCACTCAAACTTCACCCAGCTGTAGGGGGTGAACTGGAACACAATCCTCTTCATCTTGCCCCTGGAAAAAAGCAAAATAACCACTGCAGCCTGAAGGGAAAGCAGGCAAGAGGCATCTGCCAGTGTTGCCATTTGAGACACCAGTTCAGATATGCAAAATGCCTCCGTTTACTCCATTAAAATCACAACTTAATGAGATTAGCTCTGAGCTTGTTATTTTAATTATCAATTTAAGCTTTAATATACTACACCCACTGTTGTAAGCAGTTCTGCTCTGCTCAGCAAAGACACTACAGAGCACCATGGGTCATTACTGGTACACAACTACAAGGGATTTATTAAATTTTAATTCCCAGTGTCCCAGTTCCTGTGAAGTTCTGGTTACTAGGGAATGCAAAAAGACCAAACAGATCCTTGCTGTGAATGGGAGCATGATGCCAGCTTGGATTCCTGCACCTCCTTAAACCATTTCATCAAATAAGCTCATTCCCACAGGATGCCCTCAGTCCCAGCCATCAGGCAATGTTTGGGACACACAGGTGGATTTCCAACAATCCCATTCACAAGGGGAATAAAACTCTCCAACAAACCTCCCTGCAGCAATAAGTCACTGGATCCTGGAGCCACCTGGGAATTCTTTAATCCATATTAACCCAAACAGAACAACCAAGCTCTTGAACAGGGTCCTTTGTGCTGTGCCTGTGGAGTTCCCTCCTCCCCAACTTACTTGTAGGTTGGAATGTTCCAGAGCCCTTGCCACTTGTAGGTTTTCAAGGAAAGCCAGGACAGGGTCTTCATCCCACAGTAAATTCCTAACCCGTTACATAAGATCACATCCATTATCCACTGGAAGGAGAAACACAGGAATGATGCTGGGGAAGGAACACTAGAGCTTGGCAAAGGGAATCACTACAGCACAGCCCTGCATTCCAAGGAGTGGGACAGAGTGTTAATTCCACAGGTTTTCTGAAGGTTAAATAGCTTGGCTTGATGTATCTAATAATGCCCTGACTTTTGAAAACACAGCCATGGAGCAAATGACTCCAAGCTTGGGTCTTTCCCAAAATCCATCCAAACACAGACCCAGAGCTGTGTGCCCTGACTGCAGGGAATTCTGATTGCTCTGGCACCAATTTGCACCTCACACGAAAATAAAACACAACTTTAAAAGGGTGTCCTGTAGCCATGATTTTTTCCTGAAAAATCCTTTCCTTAGGATTTTTACTCCTGAGAAGCTGAGAGGCCTCAGGAACAAAATGTAAACAATGGTTATCTGCTGCTGTGGAATGCAACAGGTGCACTTGTGATTTGTCTCATGTTGGTGTTTCTAATTAATGGCCAATCATAGCCCAGCTGTCTGGACTGTCTCAGTCAGTCACAAGCCTTTGTTATCATTCTTCTTCTATTCTTAGCCCAGCCTTCTGATTAAATGTTTTCTTCTATTTTTTTAGTATAGTTTTAGTATAATATATATCCTAAAATAATAAATCAAACCTTCTGAAACATAGAATCAGAATCGTCTCTTCCCTCATCCTAAGACTCCTGTGAACACCATCACAGTCCCTTTAAACTCACACCAAGTTTTGCCTTTCTCTGATTTTCAGACTTTATTGCTTTTATTTGCTTTATCAGCAAATATTTGAAAATGTTCAGGTACAGCTTTAGATCCTCCCTGTGGTGTGAAACAAACCCAAACAAATATTTAACCACGTGCAAGTGTCTGTAAGACACAAAATGACAGAAACAGTGACAAGCAGGTCACAAACTGAACAGGGAGCAGTCACACGCGGGATACAACCCAGCTCTCACCACTTCCCAGCCCTCCCTGTAAAATCTGAATTCCCAAACAAACCCCGATCCCTGCAGTACATACATGATCCCACCAGCATTCACTGAAGTTTGGGAGCTGGTGCTCCAGGCTGTACTCCAGGAACTCAAACATGACACTGATGATCATGCACATCCACCAGTCCCGAATCATCAGAGTCTGAAGGGAGAAAAAAGCCTTTTAAACAGCTCCTAAAACACATCTACAGTTGTAGATCCTGTCTCCAGTATCCAGAAAAGGATCAGGAAACTCAGGACAATGTTATTTTTGTGATATGATGGTCCAAATGCTCACAGGCCTCTCAATTTATCACCATTACCTGCACAAGAGACAAGAAAGGCCACTGAAGAAAATCACCTCCACCCCAGCCAAAACCAGCAGAGGAATACAGATTATGATAAACTCTGGTAAAATGGGATTCAGCAGGAGGGAAATGAGTTAAATGCATGGAATGACTGGGTGCTCAACCACCACAGGCAGCATCGTTCTTACAGTGCTCAGAAAAGGCTTTTCAGAGCCTTTTATGGGCTCTAAACGACTCCAAAGCCACAATAATTTCTGATGAATGAGGCCCATTCATTCTCAATATTGCCACCCTGGTGCTTTGGGATTTGGGGGAAAGAATCCAAACACAGGCCCATCTCTGTTTATTGAGACAACACTCTCAACTTCCAGCTTTTAATAGAGAAATAGGTTATTATTTAACATATTTAAGAGAAAAATATGCTATGGCCCTCAGGAAATCCACCAACCAATCTCCTTCCAGCTGAGCAGCCCAGCTTCTAATGCAATTCTCTTGGAAAATAAAGGATCCAAGTTTTCCAAATTGAGAATTCAGTTCATTAACAGAACAAGCTGAAGTCCAGGTTTTCCCCATGCCCAGCAAATTCACCTCTGGTTTTGAGGTGAGCCACTCACAGAACACATCTGCACTGTTAAATGAAAACACAAACCAACAGTTCCAGCTTGTTTCAGAACAGCCAAGCTCTGTCAGTTTGTTATTACAACAGCAAACCCAAACAAGGTCTGCAGGGGGCAAAATCTCCTGAGTCAGGCAGCCTGCTTGGGTTAAAAAAGGTAATATTTAGACCAAAGTAATCAGCAAAACATTGCTGAATGTTCTGCCAGAGACAGGCACAGCTGGAATTCCTTCTGCAGTTGCTTGATACCAACTCAAAAGTAACAAGAATTAAACCAGTGCCCATTTAATGGTTTAAAATCCTGATCTGATGCCACTGGGAAAGCAGCAGCAGCAACAACATCTTCCTTTGGGAACATCACTGTCACTGCCAGCCCCACACTCCACTTCCAAAGGTCATTCCAACATTTCTGCTGCTACAGGAATTAAGTTTTTTATTGATCTGACCCTAGGATGAATCCCTATGGAGAAGGAAGGAGCCTGTTGATGTAACAAAGCTCTGGAAATAAATGAGGTGCCCTAACCTGGGAGGAGACAGGAAAAAAGGCTTTTGACATATTGATATGTATTTTCATGTATTACAAACAGCCTGGTATAAGTGACCAAGGCCTGGCACCACAAAAGCAGCAGCAGTGAGGCTTTGGGAACAAAGGAGCAGAGTTTCTAAGTTGAAATGAGTCATTCCTTACCTTCAGGTACCACCCAAAAAAGTGAGCAGGAACAAATCCATCCAGCTTGTCCTGAAAACCAAAAAGAGAGTGAAGGTCACAGCCTTTTTATTTTTTTTTCCCAAGAAAAATGCAGCAATAAACGTCTGTTTTTCCCACACATAAATACTTGCACTCCTTCATCAGGAAGGAATTCAGCAGAGCTCCTTAAATCTTACCAGCCCTGCCAGGCCCTGGACACAGTGCCTTTCCCTCTGCTTTTATCAGATCCCAGGTATTCCAGTTTTTGATGTACTGAGGATTTACAGGGTGGGATTTACACCCAAGGGTGCTCCTCACTTCATGCAATCACGGAGCTGTAATTAACATCATTCCTTTGCCCTGGAATTTCTGCTAGTGAGAAACTTGATGGCTTTTAGGACTCAGAAAAGCCCTGAACTAGTGCAAAGTGTCCTTGCCCATGGCAGGGGAGGAGTTACACCATCTTTCCAACCCAAACCATTCTGGGATTTGGTGGTGCAGCTTTAGGGCTTTGTGCCCCAGGGTGACTGAGGAGAAGGCTCCTCAAGCACACCAAGAAATCCAAACTCTGAGGGGACAATTTGACACCAAACTTGACTGAGGAGAAGACTCCTCAAACACATTAAGAAATCCAAACTCTGAGGGGACAATTTGACACCAAACTTGACTGAGGAGAAGGCTCCTCAAACACACCAAGAAATCCAAACTCTGAGGGGACAATTTGACACCAAATTTGACTGAGGAGACTCCTCAAGCACACCAAGAAATCCACACTCTGAGGGGAAAATCTGACACCAAGAAGCTGAGAAAGAAGAGCTGTTGAACCCTGGGCAATCAGGTAATTGGGATCCAGAGAGACACACCCCCAGGTGATGGACAGGAAAGGTCAAGAGAAGAGAAATGAAGAGGCTGGAGAGTCACTCACAGGCTGTGCTCTGATTCAGCACTCAGCCAGACCCACAAGTGCACTCTGAAGAGTTCAGTTAAGTGGGTTTTCACCCAAAAGCAGCCTCCTGAGTGAGCCTGCTCCTTACCCAGATGTTGTGGAAGGGGTCAGTTGCATTGCCAGGGTCATAGATGAGGCAGTTGCCCCCGTAGTCCCTCTCAGGCAGAGGAACCCCCAGGTGTGGGTCGATGTACTTCATGAACTGCCGCCCGTCCTGCACCGTCTGCGGGAACACAAACCAGGAACCCTGAGGCACTCACACACCTTTAAGAATTAAGAATTACCCCCTTCTCAAATTCCTTGAGGAACAATTGCTGAAATGAAGTCCAACCTGACTTGGAGCCTTTAATCCTAAATATTAAGGGAATAAAAGGCTAGAGAATGACCTTAAAGATGAAAAATCAGCGATCTTTAATGCTTTACCCCAAGCCACTCCTCTGTGCTCCCCATCTCTCCCCAGCTCATCCTTCCCAACACCCATTTCCAGTAAGGTCCCATGCAAACAGCGAAGAGAAATCATCAAAATGACCAAAATGTGAACTCATCTGTCACTAAATCAGCCACACTTTTGCTGAGCATTTATTTCCCAATGGAATCACTCAGTGTTGTGGTCAAGGCTCGACCCTGCAACATCTGTGACAGGCAGCAAAGCTGGACAAAGCCAGAATTAATTGAGTAATAATACAATTACAGAATAAACTGCTGAACTCTGGGACAAGTTTCAGCCACGAGCAAGCTTGGATTTGCTGTCAGGAAGTTCAGCCACCTGCAGACTCAGCAGAATTTAACCTTATTTAAACCTGGGCAAGGCAATGATGTATTTTTAGTGGAGAGCTGAGCAACAGCAGGGAGTTCCTTAACCACTAAATCTCTGCTGACACCACACGCTGCCACAGGGAAGAAAAGCCATTCCAGGCTTTTCTGGTGGAATTCAGAACTGCACCAATAAAAATCACTCAGTCTGACTGCAGCTCCTCAGGAATATCATGCTCAAGGATGGCTGGAAAGAAACCAGGGTGATCAGTCCCATTTTCTCAAGCTCACATGGCCTCTAGAAGCAAAACTTTTTTTAAAAAAAAGCGTTCCCCACCCGTCTCTCACACAAAAATTATTTTTAGAGCTGGCCTGATGAGTATATTGTCTCAAAATGTTTCATTTTAGCCTCTGAGAATTGTACAAGTCAGGGGGAAGTTCTCAGTTTACTAAAGGACAAGATATGGTAAAATGTTTCATTTGGAAGCACCAAGGGCACATCTTTCTATGAAAAGCCTCCTCCTCAGCTCCTGCCACCACACAAAGCTGGGTGTGAAGTTTTGGATTATTGCAAAACCCCCACACCTACAAAGAACCTGTCACTCCAGGTAAAAGATATTTCCAAAGGTGAAACCAGGTGAATTCCCCTGAGTCACACATGGCCCAGCAGGGCAGAGGCTGGACTGTGAAACACCAGCTGCTCAACATGAATTCCCTCACCAGCTCATCTAAAACCACTTCAACAGTGTCTACCCTGGGCTGAGGGTGACTGGAGGTCAGAGCAGGTGAAATATTTTTATATTATCATTTCCCTCAGCCTCACAGTCTCATTAAACAGCCTAATGATTCCATCTCACCAAAACCAGCATCTCCTGTAGTCAGCAGGAAAAGAAAACATCACAAAGGAGTTGATCCCCACATGGAAGTGGCATTTAGGAGCTGGAGGTGTCAGTCACTTACCTGGAAGAGGATGAAGATGAGGAAGAGCTCATAGACCACGCTGACACACAGCCAAAACCTCCAGTAAGCTGCAGAGAGACACAGGGGATGTCAGCAGCAGCTTTGGGGCAAGCCATAAATTAAATTATTCACTAATTTCAGTATCACAGAATCCTGGAATGCTGTGTGTTGGGAGGGACTGAAAGCCCCTCTGGGACACCTCCCACTGGCCCAGGCTGCTCCACACCCAGCCTGGCCCGGAACACTTCCAGGGATGGGGCAGCCACAGCTTCTCAGGAAACCAATTCCACCTCAAGGGAGGCTCCCACCATGGAATTACAACTCCCAGCTCCCAAGCACAGTGCTCCCCACCCTCTCTCCCTCAGGGATACAACCAGAAAGGAGCTTGAAATCCCACACAGGCTGCTGTGTAAGTTTGCTGGAACTGCTCAGGCACTGACCTGGATGTGGGAGAAGGGATCCAGGTCCAGCACACTCCAACCCAACAAACTCAGCAGTCAGGAAGGGGAAGGAAAGGAATGTGCCACCTGCAGTGCTTTCCAGCAGTCCCTAGAGGAGAACCTGATCCTTCCTGAGCTTTCTCCCTGCTCTGAGGTGGCCTGGGCTGCACAGACACACCCAGGGCAGGCTGGAGTCGTGTTCCGCAGCCCAGCTTTGGCCTGGGGACAGGGTCGTGTCCCCAGGGGCAGAAAGCATTTCAAAACCCCAAAGATAACTCCACTTTTACTTGCAATGACACCAACACCAAGCAGACCAAAGGTTCAGCAAGGCCTGTCCATCAGAGATGCCATGCAGAGCTCAGCTGCTGCTGGGAGCCCTCCCCAGATGTGGGATTACAGATGTGCACACACCTGAACCAAAGGGTGCTCAAATTCCAGTGGCTGCACACTCCCAGCTCCCCTGCCAGGCTCAGCCCTGGGTCACAGCCCATCCTGGATGGGCTCATCCATGCCCCTGATCCATCCAGACACCTCTGGGCTCTGAACTCCCTCAGTATTTCTGTCTCCTGCCCTGAGCCAGGGTGGGCACAGACCCAGCTCCAGCAGTTCTCCCTACCCAGATCCAAAAATTCCACACAAGGGAATTCAGCAAAACTCACAACACTCTGGGTGGACACTGAAATTCCAGAAATGCCACACAGCACTCTCAGGATGAGAGCTGCCTTTGTGTGTTTCCTGGAATGGAGTTCTCCTTCCTCAGGTCCATGGGGGAGATGCAGAGGAATCCCAGCAGGATTTGCCAGGAAAACAAGACCCTCTCTGTTAATTCCAAGGCAATGTAGGCACTTTGATGTTCAAAGCAGGGCCAGGCATAAATTACACAAGAATGATACAAACAGAGCCTTACAAACAGAGTTATCAGCACAGAACCCCAAATCAACTCCCCATGGAGATCCTCAGGAGATGTTTTCTCCCAAAACATGTCTTCATCCAGCTCAGCCTCAAGTAGGAAATAAATTATTTAAAAAAATAAAAAAGAAAACCACCACAAATCAAAACAACAGAGAAACAATAATAAAAAATGAAACAAAAAATACCAACTCCACACATTTTTAAAAGCAGCCTCTGACACCATCATTAAAAGAGGCCACAATGTGGAAGGTGAAACATTTTTGCAGCAATCCTGCTAAATCAATTTCATCAGAATCACTTATTTTACATTTCTGGGAAATAAAAAAGAAAAAAGGGAAAATAAAAAATGCAGGTGTGGCCTGCAGAACAGCAGTTCAGAGCTCTGTGACAGCTTTCACCCACTTGTCTTTCCAAAATGCATCTTAGGAAAAACCAAACAGCAAAAAAAAAAAATCCTCCATTGTCACAGGATTATTTGGAAGAGAGGAGCCTCTTCCCAAACTGGCACCAGCAGGGAGAATTAACCTTTCACCACCACACTTCTCCCACCTTTAAATGTCACTGCCAGATATCAAAAAAATGCCCTTTTTTCTAACCCATAAACCTCACACCAGAGATTTTACACTGCTCACAGTCAGCAAAGTGACAGATTGGTCCTAAAAGTGATGTAGCACAGAAAGCAGAGAAATCTAAATCCTTGTCTGAGCTTTCATTCCCCTCTGTACACTGAGCTGTGGCAGCTGCTGAGCAGCCTCAGAAAATAAAAAGATAATTTAAAATGGAGATCTGGCGCTGATTTAGTGCTGAGGTTTCTCCCCAGCTCACAGAGGTCCCCCAGAGGTTCTGAACACACCCAGCACCTGCACCCCAAATGTTTCCAAGGCTGTACAAACACTGCTCTCTCTCCTGCTGGGTCAGGCTCAGCGTTAGCTGTAAGGTTATTTTTGGCACATCTCCAATGCTCGTTTTCCTTTAATTCACTTCCCATTTTGCCTCCCTCCAATCAGGGCTTTCCTCCTGAGTGAGGAGGTCCCCACTAATCATTGACACACCTGATAACCCAGGGATTCCTGGGATCAAACATTAAACTGCTGCCTTGCAGGGATTTGGGAACAAGGCATGAACATTCCAGCAAGCTGAATCCAACCAGCCTTTCCCTATTTCTGCTCAGAGCCTGGCCCACTCTACCTGAGGGGCTAAATGAGTAAAAAACACAAAAATCTGGGTTGTTTGCCCAAGGAAAACACTTGTCCTGGAGCTGCTCCTTCCAGTGCTGCCCTTGCCTGCACATTCCCACTGTCCCAGCCCTCAATCCCACAGGTTACTCCAGACCCTCACAATTGACTCCCTGACCAGCTCATCCTGTCACACAGCCTGTGTTAAGTCAAAATAACTCCTGGTGAAGGCTGGGAATATTAAAAGCTGCTTCTCAGGGCATTAATAACTGTCATGGAAAATTTCTTTGGAATGACAGCATGGATGTGTTATCTTGACAGGCAATAAAGCATCCCTGGGCTCCCACAGCAGCAGCTCCAGGAGAGGAGCTGGCAGGGAGAAGGAAGGACATCTCTTATCTGCAAATCCTAAGGAGAGAGGCTACTGATGCTGGCTCTATCCAGGATTAGTTCTACCAGGAAATGCTCCCCAAATTTGGCTGTTCACCCACCAATGAATAAATGGATCCTCAAGCAGAGTTTAAGATCTGTCCCTTGCACTGCACTGCTCCCCTGGGGATAAAGCAGTGAAGGTTTGGATAGAACCAGTGGAAAATGGGATAAAAGCAGGGCAAGTTGGTAAAGCCTTGTCTGAACAGTCATAGCTACTTATTTCCATGACAATCCTACAATTCTGAATTACAGGGAGGCCACTGGTGTCTGTCCATGCAGCAAATTATTAAACTGGAGGAAACAGGGGCCTGTGTGGAATCAGCAGGGAAATGGCAAAGCTGGATGAGCCCCTGGCTAAAGCTGGGAATGCTGAGAAGGCAACCAAATAAAGAAATAAAGCCACCAGTCTGGACAGGAGCCACTAAGGTAGTGGCTGGGATCAGTTTCCTTAATGGCCTTACTGAAAAGTAGGTTAATGACACACAGCAGGGAAGGCAGGGACAGCAGAGAAGATGATCCCAGGGGACTGGAGTGACAGAGGAGCTCCTAACACAGCTCCATGCTCTGGAACCAGGAATTTGGGAAGCATCACATCATCACAAAAATCCCCAAAACAACCCTGCAGCTCTGGAGAGGACATTTGAAAGCAGAAAGCTCAGAACAAAGCCAGAATGTTATGGGGAAATGCGACATTGGGGGCAAGACTGAAAGCCAAACTTCCCTGCTTTGTTCCAGGGAACAGAACCAGCCCAGACAAACCCTCAAAACCTGGGTGCACCCAAGTGTCACTGGGTCCTCAAAAGGAGCACTGATTTTACAGCAGGAGCCACAATTAACTGGAACAGAAGGAAAGACTAAAACCTGCCATTTAATAAGAAAGGCAAATTTAATAAAGCCCCAGGTGTGCAGAGGTGTGCTGAGGGCACTGCTCTGGAACCACACCTGCTTGGCTGGGGGCTGTGGGGTGGCTGCTGGGTTAAATTTCTGGCATAAACCCAGCTTTATTTGGCTGTAGGAGAGCGCAGTGCTTTCAGGAACATTATTTAAGCCCATATGAATTCCCTTAATTCTTCCTCTTTCAACGATTCACATCTAAAAACAGGCAAGAGATCAAAGCCATTTAAATATTTTCATGTTTCACCTGCTATTCCATTACCTGGAAGAAGTTTGCGTTGTGCTTTCAAGACTTCCAGTCTTACAAGAAACCTTTAAAATCATAATCAAGGGCCTCTAATCTCCGGTGGAAAATGGACATGGAGCTCAGGAAGTGCTCCTGCACTGGATACAAGGTCACAAGTGCTGTCCCAGCACAGAGAGGAGAAAAAAAATGAGGATAAACAGGGGAAGTTCAGGTTTGAGAACTTGGCAGCTCTCAGAGAGGTTTTTAGCTACATCAGGAAGATCCACACAGATCTGCAGCTCCATGGAAGCCCAGCAGGGTGGTTATGGAGGAGCCTCCACGATCAGTGTGCAGTGCTGAGGAACCTGTGATTACTGAAATTACAACTTACCTGCTCTCCAGGCAACACAAACATTTACCTCCTCCCTCCCAGAGCAGGCAGCTGCTCAGGAGGATTTGAGGGAGCCCAGCAAGGTGAATTTACCTGGGTGAGGTCTTGAGAATGGTCCATCTTTAGCTTGTGTCACCCCAAAACACAAGAAAACCAAAATACTGGCGACGATTCCTCTGCAAGGAAAAACAGAGCACTCTGGGTTATTGCCTCATCCTCCTCCTGAGACTGCAAATTATGTTCTCTGATGAAAGAAATGTCTGGCCCTTGTTCTTTAACTGCTCAATGTGTCCCTCTTAAATGGATCCAGGCACCATGCAGAAAAAAAACAGCCAAAAAAAAAAGGCTGAGGATCACAGCAAGTCAAACACTTCCCTGTGTCTGGGAGCAGCTTTTATTCCCACTGGCTCACAAAGACACACAGGATTTAGCAGTGAGACAGCTCTCACTGCTCCACCACATTTCCATGGAATTTAAAAAGGAGCTGTCAGACTTGTCACCACTCCAAAACAGCTTCTCAACCAATTAAAGACAAGCAGGAGCTTTCCAGACCACACCAGCACTGCTGCTATTTCAAGAGCTGGAACCATAACACTGAGCCTAAGGAACATAACAGAGATTTTAAATAAAAATAAATTATCAGACCAGAAGCCCAAATATACCAAAGACCTACGACCCTGGGCATGTTCCTTTAGTTTTAATGGATTAAATGGCATAAAGCAATCCAAAGTGCTCTTTTTACTGCACTTCAACTCCCACTGGATCCTGCTTGCTGTCTCATTTCACCTGCTTAAGAGCTGGCTGAAAGGATGGACAACTGGCAAAGAGCTCATCCCATGTTTGCAGAAAATGATGCAACCCCTGACTGCAAACAAAATGGCTTAGCCTGCAGAAATCACACAAAATACCCAGCAATTTTGCTGCCAGAGAGAAATTGTTACAAACCAGAAGCAACAGGAGATTGTTTGTGCTTTAAACATGTCAAAAAACCTTTCAAAACAGAAGACTAAAGGATTTACAGAAACTATTTTATAACATTCACCTCTGAATATAAATGTTTGTGCTTCCTGAAAATAAAAATGGGGTTTAGTTAACAGATGTAACTCAGTAATTTTGCTTGCTTTAAACACTGGGAAGCACACCAGAATTAGGTGCTGAATGGATCTGTGAATAGACAGTTCCATGGGGATTTCCAAAGATCTGGAGGGCAAAACCCCTTTCACCTGACTTCCAATAATGAGAATATTCTGCATTTTGAGGCCCTGGCTGCATCTGGAAGCTCCAGTCCTGTGTGGTGTGACAAGCCCAGCCATGAACTGAGGGGTCCAGACCACTGCTCTGGCCTTGGGAGGGTTCCAATTCCAAAGCTGAAATTCCAACTTTCAATTCCAAAGCTGGAATTCAAATCCTGGATGCAAATCACCCCAGGAGCTCAGCTCTGCTCCTTCCTCTAAACCCCACTCTAGGCCCAAGAGCTGCTGTGCTGAAATATGCTGGGCATCCAGGTACATTCACTTCAAGTTCACCACAGGAAGTTTGGAAACAAATCGAAACAAACGAATTTTCATAAATAACCACACCAGTTCCATTTCATTATTTTTTTCTCAGTGATAACAAAACTTTCCCTCTTATCCTCATTAATTTACCTTGCAATGCCTCAGCAGCAGCCTGGCCTGAGGCAGGAATGCTCCAGCACCTGAGAGGGGCTCTGCTCTCCTCACCTGGCTGGACACAGCCAATGGATTTTCCTGAGCAGCAAATCAGGAAGGCACAAAACAGCAAAATGTGTCCACAAAAATCATTTTAGCACTTCACCAAATTTAAAAAAAAAAAAAAAAAAGAAAAAAAAAGGGAGAGGCTGGCAGCAGCTCCATCAGCACAAACAAACAAACTCTTGTTTGTGCTGAGAGTCGATTCAGACACACACGACAATGAGGAGCTGTGCATGGCCCTTTGTCCTGGGATTCAAGGAGGCAGCTCCCACTCCCTGTGCCCTACCGGGCTGGATCCATGCTGGCACAGCTGGTACAACCCCCTGGGGCACCACAAGCCCTGAAGAGAGCTCTGGCCTCCTGCTGCCTCCATTTCCCTGTGGGTGCTCAGCCAGAGCAGCAGGAGATCAGCATGCAAACCCACACACCCCTGGATGTGTCCCCATGGAAAGCAGGGATTGCCAAGAGCTGCGTAAAAAATCATCTCAGGAGAGACATTTCCCAGCTGGAAATTCAATGTACAGCCCTGAAGCACACCGGTGCTTTTAAACCTGAATGTGTTTTTATGGAGGGAAAAAAAAGAACTTTTTTTTCCCCCCAAGACACCCTGCTCAGCATTCCAAATATTTGGGAGCTGTGGATTTCTTCTGTGGCATGCAGAGGAGGTGCTCAGTGTTGATCTGGCTGCACTCAGAGCTGGAGCTGAGTCCAGGCTGAACAGAGGAGAATGTCACAGCTGTCAGTCAGGATGAGCTACCCCATGGCTGGGAGAACAGTGGGAATAAAGCTCTCACAACCAGACAGGTTCACAGCACAACCTCTCCTTGCCTAACAAAGTTCCACTGTTCTTACACCGGGGGCAGTTTGACCACACGTGTGATCCCAATGAACTCCTACTACATTTACATAGAAAAAGCTCCTGCAACCTTATCTTAAAAAAAAAAAAAAAAACCAACCTAAACAATCCTGGTTTAATTGTTTCAGGACAGAATTCCTGTGACAGATGTGCAAACACCAGTCTCAGCCATGGACACCACACCCCGTGAGCTCAGAGGTTCGGGTCTTGCCCATCACTTCTGCTGTGAGCGATCCCACAAATCCACCTCTCACCCTGCTCCTGCATGGAGCATTTTATAGGGTGACAAATCCTGATTTTATAGGGGAGAAGGTGGGACTATCCCACAACTCCAGTCCGGGGAACACAAAGCCAGCAAATTTGGGAAGTTCACCCCAATTTACTGCTCTGAGCAGCTCACAAGGACACCTCAGGCAGGGCATGGGAACAAAGGAGGCTGGAGCCTTTGGAAGTGAGTATTTCAGACACTGCTCCACTGTCGGTGTGCAGCAGGTGGAAATAAAAGCCCGTGACAGCTCCAGACTCTGCTCCCTGGTGACAAACCCCCCTGGTCAGCAGGCACCAAGTGTTCCCGAGGAACACCGGCACACAGGGACAGCCTCGTGCTGGCTGGGGCTGGAACTGCAGCACAACACAGCCCCACACCACGGCTGGCAAAGGTCTCAGGGCAGGATGAGGGATTTTAAATCATGGATGCAAAAAAATCTGTGATAATTTGGGCTGTGGATACACTGATGCACACTGTGCTCATCTTACCCTGCTCTGAAATACCTCCTTTCATCCAGAGAGACATAAAACAGGGAATATTTGGAAGTTCATGTCCAAGCCTCAGGATGCTCCTTTTCAAGGATTTTTGTGCCAAGACCTTGCAGAGTTGCAGCAGTGAGCAAAGCCCATTTGCTGCCCCTTTCTTGGCAGGATGCTGTAAATTGATTTTAACACCTGGGCACTGGATAAGCACACAGCAACTCGTGTTTCCTGAGAGAAAGACCCACCTGCTGACTAATCTTCCCTGGGTTTGTTTTGATTAAGGCAGCCCAGGCTCTAAGCTCAATAATAAGATATTCCACTGAGTCACCTTAGCTCTGTATTACTCCCTAAGGATGCATCATCACTTCTCTTTCAGCTCTTCCCCTTCCCAATTGTGAGTGGCCATTCCAGGCCACGCCACCCCTCCAGCCTGGCCTCCCTCATTATGCCTGGGAACAAAATGGCATTTATTTGTTCACACAGCAACCTTCCAGAACCTCTCCCAGCTCCTGACACCTTCCAGCTTGTCCCATGTCACCCCCATGTGAAATCCCAGCTCTCAGTGGGGCACAGTGGGAGTTCCATTACCCCCAGGCATTGTGTAACCACCAGAACAACAGCCAAGATTATCTCAGGAAATACCACAATTCCTGCATCTCCAGCACAATGGATGCTATATCCTGAGTCACTTCAGAAATGTACAAAAAGAGGGGAAAAAACCCCTTCAATAGCAAGGGGGAAAATTTCATTATATTTAAGAAACCAGAGCGGTAGAAAACAATTATTTTCTTGCTTCTGCCAATGATGCTTTGCAGCATATCTTTAAAACATATTTAGCTTTTTAAAACACCACTTTCCTAGCTCCTTTTTCTTCCCTGTTGTATTTTAAAAGGGGAGAAATTCGACCACATTGGATCAGTTTAAATTACAGTAGGAATTGACCACACATGTAAGATTCATTCTTATTTCCCCAGAGCTTCCCTCTGGGCTACACATTCTCACAGCAATTTTCAACAACAAACAAAGATTTGTATTGAAATCTTGAACAGAATTTTACAAAGAGCATTTGAGCCAGAAAAATTCAGTCACAGCCCCCAGCATTTTGAAGTGTTGGTTATTTTAAGGAAAGGTTATCTTTAAGAAAAAGCTATTTTAAGAAACAGCAATAGAACCCTTGCCAAAGAAACCCAGCCAGGAGGCTTTAGCAAGCTTTTTGTATTTTGCTTTAAATCACACCACAGAGCAGCCACAGGCCTGACAGTGACACTAAACTGATTAGAAATTGAATTCAATGATCAGCATCAGAGGAGCTTACAGACTTGTGACTGGTTTTGTAACGTCCTAAGGGAACAGGCACTTCCACAAGGGATTGCAGGGGTCACTGGAGGTCCCTTTTCCAGAACACACCTGGGAATACTCAGATATTCCTGAGATATTCACCTCTTTGTGTTGTAGGCTGTGTCCTGGGGAGTCTCTTCCAGCAGGGTAACGTAGCCCAACGCACACGTGAGGATGAACAGGACTGTCAGGGTATGAGCTCTCCTGAAATTCAGAACAGAGAAAAGTGACATTAAACAGCAGGAAAACTCACATCTCACCCTGCCAGTGCAGCCTCAGGAGGCCAAAACCACGGCCAGCAGTCAGGAATATTGAGGGATTCTCTATTGCAGAGCACAGAGAGCAGAACTTACAGTGGCACTGCATGTGATCAGCAGCAGCTTGGAAAAAACCAGCACCCAGTGCAAACACCCGAATTTAAACAGCTCCAGGTGTCTCCCCAGGTTTGGCAGGTCCACACCTGACAGTGCTGCTCTATTTCACAGCCTACTAATCAAAATTGCAGCTGAGGGAACAGGCCCTTGAGAGCAACCAAAGGGAATTCACTCCAGACATGGGAATTACACAAGAAAAACTAGTCATTAAAAAAAAAAATCTCCAAAGGAGAACAGGAGAACAGTTGCTGTTGTAAGAACTCTGATGCCACCTCAAGGTATCAGATCATCAGGGATATTCCTACAGTTTCAGTGCACCTAGCACAAGGGGTTTCTGTGGGAACAGCCATGACAGCAAAGCTGGGTGGCTGCTCCACAGCAGTAAAACATCCTCATCCATGGGAGCCCACAGGTTTACATGGATTGTGGTGAAGCACTCAGGGAGAAATTCTTCTGGCACAGGTTTCCCATAGAAGCTGTGGCTGCCCTATCCCTGGAAGTGTCCAAGGCCAGGTTGGACTGGGCTTGGAGCAGCCTGGGACAGTGGAAGATGTCCCTGCCCTTGGGACTGGATGAACTTCAAGGTCCCTTCCAGCCCAAACCATTCCAGGATTCTGGGATTCTATGGAAGGAGAGTGAGCAGAGCACATCCAGCCAGGTGACATCCACACCCTGCACCCCCTGATCATCACACAGAGAACATTCTTACAATGTCTGCATCTTTTCTTACTTCAAGTTGGAAATTCCCTTCCTAATGAGAAGTCACTTACTGTTTTCATTGGAAAACTCCTTCCCCGTTTGGGAAGCATGGGAACTCTGTCCAAGTAAGGCCACAGGACACGCCAAGAGTTTTGGTTTAGAGGATAACATCCCTTAACACAAACTAATAAAAAACCCACCTATAAAGAGGAAGCTGAAGGGAGGAGAAAACTTGTAAAAGCAAGAGTCTGTATGTGACATATTTGGCTCTATTTCTATTTTCTTTATATATTCTTTTGTAACAGCAGCTCACATCCCATCCCATGTCATTCCAAGGTTTGTATATTCAGGTTGTGCAGCTCACAATAAACCTTGGAATTCCCAAACCATCCACTGACTTCCCTTGAAACAACCCCACAGCAACCCACCTAAAAGTGCTCTGAAAGCCCAAGAAAAGCTGCCAGTGAACCAAAACTCCATCCTACTGCAAACCCCAAGTTCTGCACAGCACCCCTGCAATCCCACACAGGCAATACCTCATAAGCAGACACAATCCTCTTCTGCCCCTGCCAGAACAGAGTTTGGCATTGAAGGCTCTCCTCCCTCGTGCTCCTGAGGACTCAGACCACCAGCTCCAGCAGAAAACCACCAGGCCCCACCAGTACTTCCAGAATTAGTAAGGAATCAGCGTGCCCAAACCCAGGGAAAAGCCTGGGAGCTGCAAGCTCCTGCTCGGCAGCTGCATCTTGCCGGGTGCCAGGACAGGTGATTCAGCCACCAGAGCTCACGTGGGGCTGCCCTGGATCCTGCAGGAGCTGGAGCACTGAACCCAGCTTCTCCCAGGCCTGCCTCTCCCAGGAGGCAGGACAGCAGCACAGAACCCACGCTCCAATCACACCCTGCCCCTGCACACCCATCACCTGTGCATGGAATGAATGGATTCTACAACACCAGACAGGTTACATGAACTCCAGGCTATTTTGGTATCCCTTGTTTTGCTGTCTGGTTTTGAAACGTATTATTGTGTTGTTTTATTGTTACACAGTTAGACATATTGTTGTAGAGTTATAGATATTATGTATTATATAGAATAATTACATTGTGGGTTATTTTTGAAGAGGCTACAGAAACTAATCTGGAATCCCACCTTGCTGTTTCACCACCTGAGCACCCACACCAAGTCAGCTGCTTTTTCAGTGCATTCAGATCCCATAAATCTCCAAAAAATCAGCGATTACAGCTCCTCCCTGGGACAAACACCTTGAGAACCCTCTACCAGCAGCACAAGGGTGACTCAGCTGTGCTCCTCCCTGTGAGGATCTTGTGGGACAGTGAAGGGTTGGTGCTGGGGAGCCCCATCCATGCATTTCCCATTTATTTTTGGTGCCACAGGCACCAGCCTGAAGCCCAACCAGCTGCTCTGTTCAAGCAGAAACAAGAGGCTGCTCTCTCATCACTTCCCTCATCTCCAGATGCTGCCAGATTCCCTCCTAGCAGGTTTCCAAGGTAAAGGTGCTCCAGCACAGCGTGAATTCCAGGATCTGGGATGAAAGACTCAGGAGATGGGCTTGACTTCTGGGAAGAGCAAGTTGGCAGCCCTGGCAGAGAGCTGAGAGCAGTGACACAGCAATGAGAGGGAGCACAGCATCACACAAATACACTTCAGAGAGCAAAACAAGCCAGGAAATATGGATGTACACCATTTCTCCTCACAGCCTGGGAGTTCAAAAATAAAATAAAATCCAGAAAAAGGAGCAGCTCTCCTGAAGGAAGGGCTCGTCTGAGAGATCAGGATGAATTTAACGGCACAAGGGGATTGTTTTCATCTCCACACACACTTTAAAATAACACACCAGGGGAAGGAGAGCTAAGAACAGCCCAGCAAGGTAAGCAAGGCAGGAATTACATGGAAAGGCTTATGTTCTCCTGGCCTGGAGCCTGGGAGGCTGAAAAGAGCTAAGCTGGGAATCTTCCCCTTAGAATTACACACAGGAGCTTGGGCAACACGCCCGAGCAAAAGGAGGTACAAACTGCAGCCAGATCTGGGAGGTTTCACATCAAAAACTCTGCAAAGCAGTGCCTGATGTACCTGAGAACAAAAATCTAAGGCCAGGGAGAGAGCTCACAACAAATCCCAAGCTGTTAAAAAGGTGGAATATTAAGTGGCTTATTTTTCTGCCTTTCTGCAGCACACACTTGGCTCCTTCCCCACTCAAGCCCTGGGAGATTGAGATGAAATAAATCAGATTTGTTTTCACACAAGCCCTTGCCCTGCTAATTCAAACACCAAGTGAGAGCAAGCGAAGCTCTCCCGCACTGCAGATCACAAAAAAGTGGGTTTTTTCCTAGTTAATAGGATTAAGTTTGATCCCAACTTCTCTTTTTCATGCTAGGTCATTCTCCTGTCACACTGAGACGCTGCAGGTCTGTCAAGAAAATGACTACAAGCTCTTTTATTTCCCAGCTGAAGTCTATGACAGAAATGATGTAAGGGAATTGTTTAAACATGTCATTTTTTGAGAGATTCTGGCAGATCCTTGGGTGAAAAGGAGAGAGTACCACCCAGGAGCAGGCGGCCCATGGCCTCATTCAATCTCCCACAAATTAAAATCAGCTTAAGCAGGGACCACACCCTTGTTATCCACGGCTTGTTTGTCACCAGTGATGCAACAACTCCATTAAACACAATAACAATCACTGGAACACAATGCAAAGAATTTATTTATTAATATTTTGGTCAGTCCTCTTAAGTGGAACAAAATTCAAAAGGCGAGCCAGTCCAGTTTGCTCCTTGGGTTAAAAAAGTTGCATTAATTGCAGCTGCTGATGAAAGGATCTGTCAGCAGACCCAAGAATCTGTCAGTGACTTTTTCATTACTTAATTCTTTATTCCAAATAATGGCAAATTCATTAAACCATTCTTGAAAGAGATTTTTAAATAGATGTCAAAGCTCTGTACCCTCCATAAACCAACAATTCACCTGGAAATCCTAAGAAAATATGGCAAACTGTAAAACGAACCCTTTCCTCCAAAAGCAGCAGAGGGTTGTGTCAAGAACAAGACACAGGAAAACACAACAAAAAATAATACCAATTTAAAACTAATTTAATTTTTATTTGAATTAAAAATTGTAACTAACAGGCAAACTGTTGGGGATAGACAGACGGTTTGGACAACTTCAAGTCAAACCCAACCATACAAATATCCCTGCTGGTTTTAAGCTCTGTGTTATGTTTTAAAATCTGTTCAAACCCTCAGAGCCCACAAAACAGTCCCTATTCTTAGAGCAGCCGCAGATCTTCGGCACATCCCTGAAGTCACCCGAGGCCGATTAAATTTCCGTACAGACGTGTGACACTCCAAAATAGCAACCTGCCTTTTCCTTGCCATCTCCACAAAGGAGCCCAGACCTCCAGAGACCCAGAACCACAGGTCAACAGCAAAGCCTCAGCAAATCTGGGGTTTTCCTTCCACTGAGGAGGAAAGACCAAGTTCCCAAAGTTTCCATCAGTTCCACAGAGCTTGCAAGTTCCACAAATGCACTATTTTGATGATGAAACATTTTTTTGCTTAAACCTAGGGAAATGTGCATCTTGAAGATAGTTTTGGGCAGTTCTGCTGAGACAAGTGACAGGGAATTACAGGGAATTCTTTGAGCACATTCTTCCCTACTCTCCTTAAAACTTTGGGAATGTGTTTATAAAAAAAAAAAAAGCAATATAGAGACCTGATATCCAGCTGGGACATTGAACTCTGACAGGCCCTCTCCACAAAGATATTCCTTCTGCATTTCCAGCTTACTGGCAGAACTATGAAGCCCTTTGAGGAAAGGGCAATGCCATTCCCATAGCGCAATTCCCAAGGCACAGGCCCTCTCATCCATGACCAGCTGGCAAAGGTGGCTTAGTGGGATTGCACAAGCCTGGATGTCCCTGCTCCCTGCCCAGGGCATTCCCACAGGCTGGAAAAGCATGGCAGGGTGACCCAGGGCTCTGGAGCAATGCTCCTTTTCTCCAGTGCAGCGAATCCTGAGCGGGCAGCGCGGCTCGGAGTGGCGCCATCAAAGCAGGGAAAAATCCCAAGCTCAGCTCCCAGCAAACTCCAGGAATGCTGCCTTGGAGAGGGCACAGGGAGCAGCTCCTGCCAACCAACCTGTGGATATTCCATCTCCCTTGTGGATAAATCCCCACCTCTTCCTGCAGACCGCCCTTAGCAAATCCCGGTATTTCAGAGATAAGAGCAATCTCCACGAGGAATGGGTAAGGAATGTTTTGGGCTGAGTAGCAATCCCTTCTCTCCAACACCAGCTGGTTTGCCCACACATATCCTCACTTCCCAGGCCACCTGGGAAGAGTCACAACACTGAGCACAGCGAGAGGAACATGCCAGCAGGGACTGCCTCTTCCTTAGCTGCAAATTCCACGCTTTTTGCACAAGAAAGTGGAAATAATTCCTACAAACACTATGCCATTAGCCCATAGACACACTGCCATTCCCTCTTTTTTAGTTCTTTTCTTATTAATTTTAACATCCTGAGCTCCACAGATCTCTGCTGCCACACCATGACCTCGGGAATTTATACCACATCCACGTGCTGGCAACATGAGATTATTAGTGTGAGAGATAAAACACATTAATAATCAAAAGGTGACATTAATGCTAATGAAATCCAAATTAAGGTAAGACTTTGAAAAAGCAATTAACCCACTGAGTCACAATGTGGTGGCAAAAGTGCATCTGGCACCTCCCAACACCCTTAAATCAAGACTGGATGGACATTTTCCTGGGAAATCTTCTTTGGCTGAAGACAAGCTATGAAATATCTGCAGAAATCTTAGGAGAACATCACCCACAGTATCCAACTGAATGACCCCAGAACAAGCAGGGCTTTGTGTGAAAGCTGCTGCTGAAGGCACACAGGCAAGAACAATCCAAGGTGCTGGAAACAACAGGGAACATGTTCCAGTGGCTTGCCAGGAAAGCTTGGCATTCCCAGCTCCCCCACTAGGAAATCAGTTCAGGGATAAATGATACAGAAACCACGGATCTGCCTCAGAAAGCTCCCTCCTGTTCCCTTCCCTTGGCATTTCCTAATGGCAAAGGGAGCTGCCAGGTTATGCTGACTGAGCAGGTTCCCACAAGGGAGTGTTTTCCAAGTCATTTATATGGAATAAGACCAGGGATTTCAGCACACAAGTGGTTTTTCAAAGTTCCAAGCAGATTTTAAAGAGCAGGAAGCCAGCTAGGAAGCTCCACCTTTCCCAAGGACCACATTTGCAGCAGGAAAATCACCTCTGCAAATTAAACTACTCCTGGAATGATTTCTGTGTCCACAGATCCCAAATCATCTCATTTTCCCAAAAGTAGCAAGCCATGAGAGTAACCTTATCCCTAACTCCTGAACTCCAAAGAGAAGGTGCATTCCATGTTTTCCCAAAGTCAGAGGGCAGCCACTCTTTCCTGTGGCCACCTCCACAGCATGAGAGGAGTCCCAAGGGTCACAGGAAGAAAATCATTCCCCTGGATCATCTTTATTCTTGGACACGGTAGGAACTGAGTCATTGCCAAAGGATACTCTAGCACATACAGGTCAAAAGTTACACGAGGAAAAACTCTGGGACTTTTCCAGATGTTTGAACTCCCGGTTGCCAGCACAAGCTACTAGGGAAAAGAAAACTGGATAAATAGGGAAGTTAAGAATGACATTTGTCCACCTGACACAGGGAAGCTCCTGAGAGAACAAGGCACACATCCACATTTCCAAAGGAACAATCCACATGGCCACACTAACTAAATGCATTACAGCATTTATTCTGAGGTGACAGCCCTGTCACCAGCACCAAAAGCTGACACGAGGAGAGATTCTACAGCAAAACCAGGTATTTCAAGGCTTCACAAAACAGCTGGCAGCAGCCACCTGAAGGAGGGAGTAAGGAAAGGACAGCTTTACCCATTTTCCATTTAAAGGTTGGCACCGGGATCCGGCGATTTGCTCAGCCTATGCGTCCTTGTGTCCCCGAGACCACAGTGTCCCCGCAGGGACCCAGCAGCATCCCAGTGTCCCTCCGCAGCTTGCACTGGCAGGAATGTCACCTCCTTCATCGGGATCAACACCCTCGGCTGCGCTGCTGCCCAGATTGGCAGGGTGAGAGCCAAGGGCCCTCCCCTCCCACTCCTCCATGCCGGGCTCCAGCCAAATCCCAGCGCCCTCGGCTCGGATTCCAAACCTTCAGTGCCGGCTGGGCTTTCTCCATGGAAAGGGACGCGTGTTTAACACAAGGAAAATCACCTCTGCCTACACACACACAGTGTGCTGCTGAGGGGATTTATGGAACACCTCCAGCAAGGCTGGGACTTAGGAGCACTTTTCCAGGTACAAACACACCTCTTCTGCAAGGACTGAATTTAACAAAAAGCTGATTTTCTCTGCTGGCCCAACACCAGCAGTTGTGAGTTTCTGCACCCGTTTTATGGACTGGGACACGCAAAAACACACAATGCCTGCCCAGTAGGAGTGGGGCAGGACGACTTCAGCTTTCTGCCAGGATCGCTGGGAGGAAAAGAAGAAAAAGCCCCTTCCAAGAATAAGGGAGAGGAGAGAAGGAGGTGGAGTCCATGTAAACCATGCTGATAACTGGAATCAGGCAGGAATGCATGCCCGAAAACAGACAGCTCTCAAGGTACTGCAAAACACCTCCAAAGCACCACCAGGCAGGACAAGCCATCGGGATCAGCCCTAAAGGTCCTGCTCCTGGAAAAGTGGGGACCAGGACCGGGAAAAGAGGTGCCACTGCCAAAAGCCAGCCCTGAATTCCCGTTAAATTGCCAGGAAACAATTAGCGGTAGAGCCACACCAGGGAAGCACTTGCAGCCGATTGCAGCACCGGTATCGGAGGCAGAAGAGGCACGTAAACAGCAGATAACGGGGAGCAGATAACTCGGGTATCCCATTCCTTGGGGCCCTCTGCATATCCCACTCCTCAGGGACTTCCACAACCCACTCCCCAGCCCCTCCACATCCCATTCCTTAAGGACCCTCACATCCCACTCCCCAGCCCCTCCATATCCCATTCCTTAGGGACCCCTACATCCCATTTTCCAGCCCCTCCATATCCCATTCCTTAGGGACACCCACATCCCATTCCTCAACTCCCCCAGATCCCATTCCTTAGAGACCCCCACATCCCATTCCTTAGGGACTCCCATATCCCATTCCTGAGGGCCCCCGGGCCCACGCGGAGCCCCCCGGGCCATGCCCGGCGCCTCTCACCAGAAGAACGTGTTGGTGCCGTCGTCGTACACCTCGGACTCGGTGCTGCGGCGGACTCCGGCACCGTCCCGCTCGGCTCCGGGGGCGCCGCCGTTGGGCTGCGCGGGGGGCGGCGGCTGCTGCTCCTCCAGCGCGGCCTTGCCCACGTTGCCGCCGTGCGCCCGCCGCTCGCCGCGCCTCATGGCGGCGGGGGCCCGGGCAGCACGGGCGGGGGCACCGCGGGTGCTGTGGGGACGCCCCGGGGGACGCGGGCCGGGGCCGGGGCCGGGGCCGCGGCGGGAGGGGCGGGGCGAGCGGGGCCGCGCGGCGGGAGGCGTGACGCGGCGTGCGCGCGACCCCGCGCCGGCGCGTGCGCGGCGCCCGGGGAGGGGCGGGGCCGGGCCGGGCGTCGTTTCTCCCCCTCCCGTTGCCGTGGCAACCGCGCGGCCTCCCGACCCCCCTCACGCGACCGCCAGGCGGCGCCAGGAGGCGGAGCCACCGCCCCTCATGGAGGGAGCCCGGGCCCCTCAGGGAGCCGGCGAGCAGTAATTAAACAAAATGTTTAAACAAAATGTCTCCGTACCGCGCAGAACCCTTAACAAAACCCCAGAATAAAAGTGGCAAAAACAAGTGTCCTTTGCCAGGCTGCCGTGCGGCCCTCGAGTGCCCCACGCTGGGTACCCCATGCCTGATGCCGTGGCTGTCCCGATTGCCCCGTCTTTGTGCAATGAAATGTTTAATATCTGTTAAATTTGTGCGTTTTGCTGGCGAAATAAAATTGTGTTTGGCGAAAATTTGCGTTTTGGCGAAATAAAATTGTGCTTGGCGAAAGGTTTTGCTCCCACCCGGAGGGTCTGGCCAGGGCTGGGGGGGCTTGCCGGGTGCCCCCTGTGCTCTTGGATTTGAGGAATTCTAAAATCCCTCAGCCCTTCCCAAATTACCTCGGTCAGGCTCCTCATCCGGAATGTGCCACGCTGATCCCGGACGGCAGGCACAGAGCTCCGGCTTTCTGGAAAGATCTTGGCATGGCAGCAAACTCCAGGAGTACTGTGTGGAGGGAAGGCAAAGTCCTGTGGGAGCAGAGAAATCAATCAGGGAAGGAAATTAGAGGAAACATTTAAAGGATGGCAAATAATCAAGACAAGCTTTAAAGGTCCCTCCCACCCAAAGTTCTTCCATGTTCTGTGAATTACACACAACAGGGGGCAGGATTAGATGGGACATTGGGAAGAAATCCTTCCCTGTGTGAAAAATGCATGTATTTTCTGATTGGCTTTTCGCAAGTATTAAAATGAATATTATATGTGTTGCGTTAGAAAGTAATGCTGTATTCATTCTCTTAAGTACTGTGTTAAATATAGTTTTAGGTTATAAAAAATGTTAAAATAGAAACTATGCTATGTAGGATACTTTTTTTTAAAGAAAGGACTTGTAGCGAGATAGCAGCCACAGGACACCTAAATCTTTCAGAGAAAAAGAATTTATTGCCCTCTTATCAGAAGAAACTAACTTCTTCCCGCCTCGAAGGCGCTGTTAGGATTCGGAGGAAGAAGGTGACAATGACCAGACAGACTCCTGTGTTTGAATGGAATTTATGCATCATGTCTGAGGTGTATAATATGCAACAGGCTACTGCTTTTAAGGGTTAATCCTTTGTTAACGGGTGTCCTTTTTCGGGCTCGTGCTGCCCAGAAAAAGGTACCCGGATGTCCGTAACTCTTTGTATTTATTGACTCATATTGTCCTAATTAAATTTGTCTAAATTATTATTACTCTAATTGTATTACTATTTTTATAACCACTTTATTATTATTAAACTTTTAAAATTTTAAAAACAAGTGATTGGCGTTTTTCACACCACCCAAAGCTATTCCATGGTTCTGTGAAATATTGAAAGGGAGCAGGGTTAGACGGTACATTGGGAAGAACTCCTTTCCTGTGAGGGACTGAGGACCTGGCACAGGTTTCCCAGGAAAGCCGTGGCTGCCCCATCCCTGGAAGTGTCCAAGGCCAGGCTGGACGGGGCTTGGAGCAGCCTGGGATAGTGAAGGTGTCAGGGCCGATGGCAGGGGGTGGCACTGGACAGGCTTGGATGTCTCTTCCAGTCCCAGGCACTCCAGGATTCTGGGATTCTGTGGAATCACGGAGTGGCCACAGGAGGGCAGGAGCGGGATGGGCGAGGAGCGGGCAAGCGCCCGCTGAACACAGTGCTGGGACAGATAAAGGATATTTCTGTCAGCTGCACAATCCCCCCTCCAGCCTAAAACACTCCCTTGCACACCCCACGATGCTTCATGAGAGCAGGAGGCACTCACCTCGTTCCAAGAGATCGCAGAATATCCCGAGTTGGAAGGGATCCATAAGGATCAGCCAGCCCAGCTCCTGCCCTGCCCAGACACAACAATCCCGTTGTGTGCCTGAGAGCATTGCCAAACGCTCCTGGAGCTCCGGCAGCCCTGGGGCTGTGACCATTCCCTGGGGAGCCTGCTCAGTGCCCGACCACTATCTGGGGGAAGAATCTTCTCCTAATACCCAGTCTAAGCCTTCCCTGCTTGGAATGAGCACCCAGTATTTTAATTACAAGCAAGGTTTCATCCCAAACCACATCCTCTGCTCTAACATTGACTGTAGCTCCAGGGATACCCACAGATCCAAACAGACCAGGATTTGGGTGAAAAGACCCCCAGCTTTATGAGAGAGCACAGACATCTGCTGTTATTTTAGCGCCATCCTGAATCAGTGCCTCCCTGTCCAAAAGCATTGCTGCCAGGCAGAGGGTGGACAGGCAGCCTCTATCCAGCCACAGTGGTTTCACACACAAAACCCTTCAGCAGTCTCCTCAGGTAGGAATTACCATCCCCACCTCCAGCCAGGACTGACAGCTCAGGGAGTGCTCCTGGAGCTTCCCTGCCAGTTCTCAGTACAGGTAAAATTGCTGCCCAAAGCAGCTGGAGTCCAGTGGGTTCAGGTGTGTGACCAACCCAGCAGCCACAGAGCTGATCCCTAAATAATTTTCTTTGCTTCCACAGGGTTTGTGTGGCTCTATCCCCAAATTCAGCTTTTCCTGCTGTCATACTCAGCCCCAGTCACCTCAGAGCAGCAAATGCAGGAGGGGAGGGAAGCACTGGAAGAGGGACAGCATCAACTTGCTTACCTGCCTTGCTCTACATGCAGATAAATCCTGCCCAGACAAAACCAAATTCCTCCTGAACAGGAGCAGCAGCCGCGTGGTCTCCTCTGAGTGCCATGAAAGATCCTGCAGGGGGTGGATACACCTCAGCCAGAGCCAACCTGCAGGCACAGACTCACCTTCCCCCCTGGCTGTGACATCCATGGGCTTTGGGAACTGCTGCTGGCTGCATGACCTCCTGGGCTGTCCAGAGAGCTGAGCCCTGCTCAGGAAGGAGAGGCAGGAGCACGGGAGGAGTGCCACAGCTGTTCCTCCCACAGATAACCCCATTTGCCTGGAACACAGCAGCGCTCCCTGTGCAGAGGCCTTTGCCCTGCTGGAAAGCACCGCCTGACAGGGCTTCGCTCTCTCTGGGTAAACACACATACACACACACACACACTCTCCCAGAGATACAGCCTGTTCTCCACTCCCAGCTCATGGATCACCCCTGGAAGGCTAAAGGTCTGCCCACACCTTGCTTTCACGCACAGCAGGATATTGGGATGATAACTCTTTTTTTCCCTCCCAATAATCCCCAGGTCTGGTTTGGCACCTGTTCACTTGGCAAAGCCACAGAGTGATGGTGGCTTAACTGGGAGCGCCACTCTGGAAATGCTGGCTGCCTTTCCTAGCAGAACACAGCTGGATTACCACCCACAGGACTTGGTTTATTCTATAGCAGCCCACAGGAATGCTGTTGGAGGGCACGAGGGAATCCAGAGCAGTTACTGACCCTCTTGTTGTTCCCAGGAAATGCTCTTATTTGTAAATGAAAGCAACAACCCTCCCCAAGAAAACAGGTGTAAGGCAAGATCTGGCTTACATGCAACATTTTCACTCACTTTTTATAATAAGAGTTATTCCCTGTTCCAAGCCATAGGTCCAGATGGGAGTTGATTTTCCTCTGCTCAGGTGAGACCCTACCTGAACTCCTGCATCCAGCTCCAGGGTCCCCAGCACAGGAAGGACATGGACCTGTTGGGGAGAGTCCAGGGGAGGGACACCAAGTTGTTTAGAGGGATGGAGCAGCTCTGCCATGAGGAAAGGCTGAGAGGATTGGGATTGCTCAGCCGGAGAAGAGAAGGCTTTGGGGTGAACCCTTCCACTCCCTGAAGGGAGCCTGCAAGGAAGCTGGACAAGGGCATGGAGTGACAGGATAAGGGGAATGGCTTCCCACTGCCAGAGGGCAGGGTTAGATGGAATAATGGGAAGAAATCCTTCCCATTGAGGGTGCTGAGGCCCTGGCACAGGCTGCCCAGAGAAGCCATGTGTGGAAGTGTTCAAGGTCAGGCTGACAGCACCATAACACATGGGAAGGAAACAGCACCCGACTCCCACAGCTGTTTTACCAACCAGCAAGGCATCAAGAGGAGATTTCTAGAGCTTTCCAGAGCTCCTGTTAATATCTCCTTTTGGCCAGTTTATGGCCCCTCTGGGAGATGTCACAGGGTGCCACACACAGCGCTGGCACCGCGAGGGGCAGAGGGGAAAGCAGCAGCGCCCAGGAGCTGGCAGGAGGAGCTCGGCACTGTTACCTGTGCGGGGCGGTTCTGGGCTTGCCACTCCTCTGGGCGAGGGTGAAGGGCAGCTCCCTCACCTGCTCCCGATATCTGCCCACTGCTAGGCACAGGCAGCTCCCTCCCAAGGCAGGCACGGGTGCCACACGGAAGTCACAGCAGCTCTCGGTGCACATGAGACCTCTGAGACCTCGGGCCAAGGAGCTGGGGAAGGAAACCACAGCCTGAGAGAGCCCAGGAGGCTCCAGCCCATCCTGCACACCAGCCCTCTCCTTAGGGATCTGCCCTGAGGGGCACCGAGGAAGGCTCTCCACTTCACCATGCAGGTAGGAACAGAAACTGCCCCGAAATTCCCAGGATGCTTCTTTTCAGCACCCCTGAGCATCTGTGGCTTGGAAATACAGGATACACTAACCTCCAACCTCTACCACTCACCTGCTTTCACAGCCTTTACGGTACAAAATTCCTACCACAGGTGTGTGACAGGGAAAGCAGGGTGTGCTGCTGGTCCCAT